AAAAAAAAACCACACCACACACACACACACACACACACACACACACCCTCACCTCTCACTGGGTGGTATCAGTCATTCACACTTTTTTTTTAATTTTCACTTTTAAATTTTTTTTATTTTTTATTTATGTGGGGGGGGGCCAGCTCAGCCCACCAGGGGGCGGGGCTGGCTGGCATGTGGTGCTGGGGGATTGAACCGTGGTCCCAGTGCTTTGCTTAGCTTGTTCTAAGTAGGTGCTTTATTTAAAATTTATTTTATTTGTGCGTGTGTGTGTGTGTGTGTGTATGTGTGTGTGTGTGGCCAGCTCAGCCCACCAGGGGGCGGGCTGGCTGGCATGTGGTGCTGGGGGATTGAACCGCGGTCCCAGTGCTTTTCTTAGCTTGTTGTAAGTAGGTGCTTTAGACCACTGAGCCATCTCACCAGCCCCTCATTCACACTTTAGTAAGAATGCGTGCCAGAACTTCTTTTAAACAATAGTCTGAATCCCTGTCCCATCTTTTCTCCTCATTTTAGTGTCCAGAGTCTAGCCAACATAAATTTAAAATCTTTATTATTCATTTTCTCAAATATAAAATCAGGCTCTGAGCAGACAACACATTATTTCCAGGGATAGAATCAAGGATAAAAATCACATTACTTAAAACAAAACAAAACAGGTGTATCCCTGCAACTTGTCCTTCCTGGACCCCCAATCTGGGAGAGTAAAGGACAGAGACCACAGCTTCCAGCCTGCACTCTGCTGACCACGGCCTGAGGCTGGGTGCCACCGAAGGGCAGATGAAGTTCTGCCAGGTGTGCAGGGCGGGCAGCAGGTCCTGAGGTGTTCAGCGCTTGTCAGTGGAGCGAAGGTTCAGGGACGCCAGACGTCCCAGGGGTCTTCGACGAGCGTTGGTGGCCAGCCGCTGCTGCGCCAGGAAGGACTGCGCATGTGCAGGCGCCCTCGCTTCGCCAGCTCGCTGCTGCAGGGCTACGCCCTAGGGGAGGGGTATGGTCGGCTTAGATCAGGGGAGCCCGGAGATTCCCAGTTCTCTTCCATGGCAACAGTGATCTCACCATATTATACCAGGCACTGATGAGCAGTTTTTCCTCCTGTTCCCGCTGACTTCGGCTGGTCTCACAATCCATCTGGTAGGGCAGGGAGACAAGAATCAAGGGTCTGGGTGAGCTGGGCCAGCCAGGAGTGGTGGCTCATGCCTTTCAGCTCAGTGCTCAGGAGGCTGAGGCATGAGGACTGCTGTGAGTTCCAGGCCAGCTGCTGTGCTACACAGTGAGTTCAAGACCAGCATGAATTACATAGCAATAACTTGTCTCAAAAACAACACACAAGGGCTGGAGAGATGGCTCAGTAGAATAAGCACTTCTCTGTCAAGTGCAAGGGTCTGAGTTCAATCCCCAGTTCTACCAAAAAAAAAAAAAAAAAAAAAAAAAAAAAAAACACCAAACACACACACACACACACACACACATACACACACACACACACACACAGGATACCCACTTCCAGGTGCCGAATACGGATGTCCTGCTCCCGGAGCTGTGTCCTCAGAGTATGGAGTTCTGGGGGCACCCCTGTAGGTGGCCGCTGCTTGGGTTCCAGGGTCTGTATGACCTAGGGGTTTAGAGGATGGCAGCCAAGGTGACCTTGCATTCACTGCCCCCTTAGACACATGGAATGCATTAAACATGATGGCCCATGGCAGAGAGAAGACAGAAGCCTGTGACACGTGTGGCATGACAATAGAGTGACAAGCAAAGACAGACAGAAGGTGATGACTGAAGTGAGGGGCAGGACGGCTACAGGACCGGGTCCTCACCGTGCGTGCCTTGTCAACATAGCGGCGGTACCGCTCCTCCATGGCCCGCAGGTCCGCATCCTTCTTCTGCAGGCTGTCCTGCAGCTCTTCGATGCGCCGGGCCGCTGGGAGACAGGAGACCTCAGAGTCATGCTGCCCTCTGGGATCGCCCCACCCCCCACCCTAGCCACATGCCCTGCTTACTGCTGCTATCTGTGGGGGGCTCCAGCTCTTCAATGTACTCTCGCTTTCGCTGTAGCTCCAAGTCTGCCTCATGCAGCTTCTGCCTGTATGAAGCCCAGGGACAGTAGAGGGCTGACCCTCGGCCAGCGTGTCTGCTTCATCTTTTATATTTTTGTTGTTAGGGTTTCTTTCCTTGTTTTTTTTTTTTTTTTTTTTTTTTGTGTGTGTGTGTGTTTTTGTATCAGGGATCGAACTCAGAACCTTAGGCTTTCCAGACAGGTGCTGAGCTATTTCCCTGGCCCTTCCTTTGTTTTTTGAAACAAGGACTCACTATGTAATCCAGACTGGCCTTGAACTCCTAGTAATCTTTTTGCCTCAGCCTTTCAAGTGCTGGGATTACAGATGTGTGCCACCATGCTCGGTTTTAGTGGTCGCCATGGCACACTGTTCGTTCCAGAGCCAGCACAGCATGTGCTACCAGAGATCCAACCTGTTTTTTTTTTTTTTTTTTTTTTTAATGTATTTGGTACAGGTTCTCACTACACAGCTCAAACTCTGTGATTCTCCTGTTTTCAGCTTCCTTGGCGCTGGGCTTACAGGCATGGGCCACCATTCCTGGTCTCGGTGGCCGGCTCAGCATGCCCAGGGGCAGGGCCGGCGGGGCATGTGGTGCTGGTGATCAAATCCTGGTCCCCGTGCTTGCCTAAGCAGGTGCTTAGTCTGCTGAACTATCTTGCTGGCCTGAACCCAGGTCTTCGCACTCGCCAGGCAGGCAGATAGACCACTGAACTATCTCCCCAACCCCGTAAGCTTTACTTTTATTTTGAGATAGGCTTTCACTAAATTACCTAAGATGGCCTCAAATTTGGGATTCTCCTACCTCAGCCTTCCGAGCATCTGGGCTATAGGTGTGTACCTGTTTACCTGGTTCCTTATTGTGTCCATTGCTGAGGATGGAACCCAGGCCTTCTCCCACCCTAGGCAAGTGCTCTACTACTAGGCCACCCTCCCAGCTCTCCGGCTTCTCTTTTGTCCCAGCATCCCAGTGGTGCCTACAAGGCTCTCAGCAGCCACAGTAACACTGCCTAGGGACCTGCCCTGGCCCTACCCTTCTCCCCACCATCAGAGTCACAGTGGTCCTGGCCAGTGGCCCTCTGTCCACTCCCCCCATCCAATGTGGAGCGAGGACCACATTAGTCCAGCCACCATCATCCCTCTTCTACACTAAACCCTCCAGATCCATCCATCCAAACAACCTTAACACCTAGCTGGGTGTGGTGGCACACACCTGCAACCCCAGCACTCTGGGAGGCTGAGGCAGGAAAATCACAAGTTCCATCCCTCCCTGGAAAACTAATCAATTTAGTGAGAACTTGTCTCAAAAACAAACAAAAGCAACTGTCACTTTATTTCCTACCACCTGAAAGGAAATCCCTCCGTGGCTCCCCACAGCGCCCTAATGCACACCAAGCTCCTCCCCTAGGCCCGGCAGATCATCTTAGACTGGACCACAGTCTGTGTTGTCGCTGGACATATTCCGCACACCTTCCCCAGCCTCCCACCACCTGCCACTTACAGATGTTCCTCCAGCTTCCTCTTCAGCAGGGCAGGCTGGGGAGAGAAGGAGGAGGAGGAGGAGATGCCGAGGGGTCCAGAGAGCTGAACCCCTAGCTAGCAGGGGAGCCACAGTGCCTCCCTGGGCCCAGGTACTCACGATGGCCTGCACGGGGGCGGGCAGCGGGCAGCAGGGAAGAGAGAGAGGAGGGTTACACGGGGCAAGGGGAGTGCTGGGCAGGGGAAATTGGCACTCACGTCCTCGCTCCTGCCTCCCTGCTCCTGTAGTGCCTTCTGCAGGTCCTCCACCTGGGCCCGCAGCTCCACCAGCTGCTGCTGGTTCAGCCTGCAGAGTGCGGGCTGCTCAGTGCCCGCGCACTCGGCCGGGCCCCGCGGGACCCTACCAGGTACCCACCAGCACTCACCGCCGCTGCGTCTCCAGCCCGTGGCGCGCGCGGTTAGCCTCCTCCAGGTGGCGCTGCAGCTCCGCCTGCCGCTCGCGATCCGCCGCCTCCTGCTGGCACAGCCGCTTGTTCTCCAGCTGGAGCCGCAGGAGCGTCTCCCTGCCGGGCCAGGAGGCATGAGCCTGGCGGGACCGCAGAACAACTCGGGCCCAGAGTGGCCCGGCCAGGAGAACCAGTGAAAGCGTGAGGCTAGGGGCAGGTGGGACCTTGAGGAAAGAGCCCAGCCCGACTGGGAGCAGGAGTGGGATCTGTGATGTGGGCGGGGGCCATGGGCCCCAGGGGCGGAGTTCTTATGGGCTCTGGGGCAGAGCCAGAACTGACCGGAGCTACTACTCTAGGGTTAGAACGGTGTACCCGGCCGGCTGGCAGCGGGAACACGTGAACAGACAGTGTGGGGGAGTTCGTTGGGCAGGGTACAAGCGACTGCACCTAGCAGGGCCTCCACTGAGTGCAGGGCTGGACCTTGGGGGAAGAAATCAAAGAAGGCAGGGCTAGGATGTAGGATGTCTGCTCCCATATGGGGAACAAAGCCGGCAGCCACAAAGCCACCGAGCAAGAGTCAAGAGCCCTGGGCCAGGTCAGAGCAAGATTGAGAGTGGAGGAACCCAGAAGCCCAGCTAGGACCTGGAACCTTAAACTAAGAACGAGGGCTCTGGTCTCTGTGCACTCCGGGAGGAGGTTGGGGGCCCTGGCCAGCTTGTTGGTACCAAGCACCAGATGCCTGGGATACCTGAGCTCTGCAGGCAGGATCTCTGCTGCTAAGTTTTCCAGGCCTGGCGGGGTGGTATCCAGTGAGGAGTCTGGAGAACATGAGGGTCTTCAGGTCTCTGGGCACCTGCAGCCCCATCCCCAGGGCCTTTTCCCCAGTACTGGGGCCTCAAGATCAGCACACCCCCTCCCGGGGTCCTGCAGCTCACCAGCCTGAGTCAGCCCCCTCGGCTGCAGCTGGGCACAGCGCAGCTCCTCATTGGCCTCCCGGAGAGAGTCCCGCTCAGCCAGCAGCCGCTGCAGAGGCAAGGAAGGCATGCAGGCCATGTGAGACTGTGCCACCCAAGGTTTCCAGGCAATGGCAGGAGCTTGGGCTGTGGGGTGGCAACCTCACCTCCTTCTCCTTTGTCACTAACTTGTACTTTTCTTCCAGGTTGCGGCACTCAAATAGCCATTTCTCGGCCTTCATGGCCTCCTCTTGCCGTTGGCCCTGTAGTTCTTGAACCTGTACAGAAAAGAGGTGAGAAGTCAGGTGTGGCGACACACGCCCCTAATCCAAGGACTGTGCAAGCTAAGGCAAGAGAGAATGGTCATGAGCGTGATGCTAGCTAGCCTCACATACATAGTGAGTGAGTTAAGCCCACCCCGTACTACAGAGCAAGACCCAGTTTGGGACGACTGCAGAAAGGAGGGTGAGGACTACAGGGATGGAAGGAGGGGCAGCAATTTAGGAGCAGACAGAGGAAAGGGCTGGAGCAAACAGTGCCTAATGGCAGGTGGGGTTTACAAACATATGTAGGGCTGACCAATAGCTCAGCAGATTAAAGCACCTGCAAGCAGGCCCAGGAGGTTCACAGGGGGTTCATTCCCGGGCCCACCCCCAGGGCCCACTGAGACTGGGACTGGTGGTGTGGGTCTGTAATCCCAGCTCTTGGGAGGCTGTAAACAGGCAGTTCACTATGAGCCCGATCTAGTAGTGAGACCCTGAACACTCTATAGACCATTCCCTAAAAAATTAAAAAACAAACATATGTAGCAGGCCTAAAGGGTTCTGCCCCACACTGTGAAGGCGGGGCTCAGTGAAGTCCCTGGAGGCAGGCCAAAGCAAGAGAGCTCATTGTTTAAGGGCGTGGTCTCCATTTGAGGGCAGGGCTCCAGATAAGAACAAGAGCTGTCCAAGAAGCCGGTGAGTAGCTGGACTGGCCCTACAGGTGTGTGGGCAGTGCTTCGGGCCCATCAGGGGCGAGACTGAGTGGGGGGTCCCTAGGCGAGGGCCCCCTTGTTCCCGTTACTCCAGCTGGGCCTTACCTGCCTCCGCTGCGCCTCCAGCTGGGCACGCAGCGAACCAGCCCTGCGCAGCTCATCCTCCAGCTGCTGCGTGCGCTCTGCGTGCCCAGCATTGCGCTCCTCCAGCTGCCGCACCTGTCGCCGCAACTCCCGCAGCTCCCCCAGGCGCCGCCGACAGCTATTCAGGGTCGCTTCCAGCTGCGCTGCGCGATCTGAGGACTGCCTGAGAAAAAGTCAGACAACAGGGGACAGTCAGGGGTCAGATGGAGGCAGCAAGAGGTGTCGGCTGGTATTAAACTTGGGATCTTCCTGCTTCAGCCTTCCAGAATGCCGGATGACCTGTGTACACCACCACTCCCAACTCAGGATAGGTTTGTGGGGGACAAAAGTGTGATGGTGGGGCTGGTGAGATGGCTCAGTGGTCTAAAGCACCTACTTAGAACAAGCTAAGCTAAGCACAGGGACCACGGTTCAATCCCTCAGCACCACATGCCAGCCAGCCCCGCCCCTGGTAGGCTGAGCTGGCCACACACACAAAAAAAATAAATAAATAAAATATAAGAGGGGCTGGAGAGATGGCTCAGTGGTCTAAGGCACCTACTTAGAACAAGCTTGGCAAAGCATCAGGGACCGCGGTTCAATCCCCCAGCACCACATGCCAGCCAGCCCCGCCCCCTGGTGGGCTGAGCTGGCCACACACACACACCACATTTCTCTCTCTCTCTCTCTCTCTCTCAAATAAATAAAAATAAAAAAAAATTTAATTTCAAAAAAAAAATATATAAGAAATTTTTTTTTAAAAAAAGATGTCATTAAAAAAAAAAGTGTGATGGTGTCACAGAGATATAATGACATAAAGGGACTAAGGATCCCCCAAAGACAGTTTGGAGGTTTGGGGAAGTTATAAGGAAAAAGCACTAACAATCTTTATTAGACATACAAGAGGAAAGTGACCCACTAGATATTTTAGCATTCCTAGGGTGCTGTAGCATTACAGGGGGCTCTTTGAGGTTACAGAAGACAGAATGGGAGGGCCAGCCAAATAGCTCAGCAGATTAAAGCACCTGCAAGCAGGTGATCCCCAGGTCTGCTGTGCCCACCCCAGCCCTGTCCCCAGGGCGTGCTGAGATGGAGACAGAGACTGGGTGTAGTGATGCACACCTGTAATCCCAGTACTTGGGAGCCTGTAAACAGGTGGATCACTAGGAGTCCAATCTAGTAGTGAGACCCTGAACAGCCTGTAGGCCCTTCCCAAAAAATACAAAAAAGAAAAAGACAGAGTAGAACCATAAAGAGCTGCAGCTGTAGTGTTCTGGAGGGACCATAGGATCCAGGGCATGATGGGGATTGGAGTGCGTGGGTCGGGACAGTGTTATTGGAGAGGGGGTCCTGTGTTTGTTGACAGTGCTTGGAGTCTGAATCATAACATAACAGGGCACTGTGGGGCCCTGGGAGCACCGTCAGTACAAGATGTGAGGTCCAGAAATGTAAGGGCGTCAGGATAACGCAGTAGATGGGGACCAGGGAGATGGCTAAGTAGAATAAGCACTTTGCCTGGCAAGCACAGGGTCTGAGTTCAATCCCTGGTTTGAAAGATAATGCAGTAGAACCCAGTTGGTATTGAAGGGCTTGGGGTGACACAGTGAAATCCGAGGGCGCTCGCCATGCTGGAGGTGCCTGGTAGGCTCCCAGGGACTCCCACTCACCGAAGCTCATCCATCTCATCCTTCAGTGCCTGTGCCTCCTGGGCCAGGCTGGTCAGTGCCTGGTTCCGCTGCTGCAGCTCTGTGACCTCACGCTCCAGCTCGGCGCAGCGCAGCCGTTCATCCTCCCGGCTGCTCTCCAGTCTGGGGGTGGCAGGAAAGGGGCTCACGAAGGGGCTGTTGCCTCCACCCTATTCTCCTGGCCTGCCTGGCCCCCTCTCAAGCTGCCATACCTGAAGTTTTCCTCCTGCAGCTGTTCCAGCTGGGACTGGAGCAACAGCAGCTTCTTGGCTGTGAGGGCGGGGGCACCCTCGGCCTCAGGCTGGCCGGCTCGTTCCCGAAGCGCTGCATTCTCCTGTGCCAGGCTTTGCTTCTCTTCGGACAGGAGCACCAGCTACAGGCAGGGAGGTGTGTAAATGGGAGCCTGGTAGGAGTGTGGTGGACCCCAGTGCCAAGAGTGCCTCCCCACCTGCCGCTCTAGGTCCAGACAGTGCTGCTGGAGCTCGTCCCGCTCCTCGGCCTCCTCGCTCAAGAAGTAGTACCTGCGGGACTGAGCAGACAGATAGAGGGAGTGGGTAGGGGGCCAAGGAGCCAGGAGGACCAGGGGAGGAAGGCCGGGATCTCTCAGGGCAGAGGTGATCCCTGCCAAGGGACCCTTACGATCTAAGAGAGGACTGGAGCTCCCCAAGACTAGGAGAGGGTAATTCAGGAGACCTGGGGACCTAGCAAGACCAGGACCCTGTGGAGAGGGGTGGTTCATAGCTTTAGGATAAGCCCTTCACCTATGCAGCCCCACCTATGGGGCTGACCCGTCTGCAAGGTTCTCTATCCTTACCTGTGTGTCAAAGTTGCCATAGGTCTCTGCTGACAGGGAGTCAGGTGTATCTTTGGTGATGAGCTGGGGGTGGGGGAGGCATTCTAATGAGCTGAGCTCTCTGCTTTTTGCTTTTCTGAGACAGGGTCTCACTATGTAGTTCAGCTTGTCCTTTAATTCACTATATACAGCCCCAGCTGGCCTCGAAGGCACTCCTCCTGCCTCAGCCTCCCATGTGCCGGGATGACAGGTGTTGTCACTACACCTGGCTCCATGCTAAGCTCTCTAAAGACAGCCTCCAAGCCTCCTCCAATCTGGCCTAAGAAGCTGCCAACCTTCAGAACCCCAGATTCAGTTCTGCCAATAACCTGAGCCCACAGGCAGCCCCATCCCCCCCCCCCCCCGCCTCTGACATTGAGGGCAGGTGTGTGAAACCTGCAGCTTTGTGAGTCAGACCTAGCAGTCATGAGACAGAGATGCCTGGCCAGCTAACTTTGGGGCAGACACTAGATGGCAGGGCTTGGGCCCAGTCGCTGCTCTAGGCCCCAGAATCATCCCCTTCCCTGACGCTCCTCTGTCGTCTCACACCCACCCACACTCACCTCCTGGATGGCTTCCATCACTACATGTTGAACTGACTCCTCCAGTGTCATGATTCTCTCGATGTGCTCTGGGGATCAAGGTGGGGTGACTGAGACCAAGGGGAAGCTTGAGGGAGGAATGAGCCATCACCTGGGGACCTCTGAGCTCTGCCTCTGGCCTTCCCCATACCTTGTTTATTCTCACAACTAATCGCACAGCCTAGCACCAGCTGTAGCAGCTTGCCCAGCTCCGAGGGGTCTGAGAACTGGCCAAGCAGGCTTACATCCGGGAGGTGCTTTTCTGACACAGGATGCCCCAGGACCTAAGAACAGAAAGTCAGTGGGGTGGGAAAATGTTTGGGGTTCACAGGCCCAAGCCCTTCTCCTCATCCCAACTGTTCAACGGTCTGACAGTTACTCACATCCTGAGAGTATACCAGCAGGCTCTGCAAGATCTTTTCCAGATTGCTGACCTGGGGAAGCAGAGGTTCTCTGTATGGAAGCCCAGAGGCTCCACCTCCCAGTCTGCCTCCACTTCTTGCCCCACCCTCTTCTCATTCCCTGTTTGGCTTACCTTGTTTGGCCCTGCTTTCTGAATGTCCCCTCCCCTAGGAGTAACCTATCCAGCCATGTGTCCTTTGTATCCACCTGACCATGTTTGTTTCTGCAATCCCATGACTCAATTGCTAGTGAGGTGTGGGGTCAATACATGCCTGTGATCCCAGAAATGGGAGGCTGAGGCAGGAGAATCTCTGCAAGTGTGAAGCCAACCTGGGCTACTTAGTGAGTTTAAGTCCAGCTCAAACTACATGGTGAGACTCTGTCTCAAAAAAAAAAAAAAAAAGAATGCATGGCTGGGGATATAGCTCAGTGACATAAGCACCTGCCTAGCAAGTGCAATGTCCTGAGTTTGATCCCTGGTACCGCCAAAAAAAAAAAAAAAAAAAGACAATGCAGTTGCTTCTCAGCACATGGTTCTAGTCACTGTCATCTCTCACCTGGACAACTGCACCAACTACTTCTTGTACTACAATTTTTTTTTCTTCAGTGGTGGGGATGGAGTCCAGAACCAGTACATGCTAGGCAATCGCTCTCCAGTGAGCTCTACCCCAGCCTCTCCACTTCCACTCTTGTCCACACTATTCCTCTCCAGACAGCCAGGGGGAGCTTTTTCAAGGCCATGCCAGGTGGTATCTTTCCTCTAGTGAAATCCTTCCCTGACTTTCCACAGCACTTAAAATAGAATCCACATGCCCTCCGACGTCTGCCAGGCCCTTGATGACCTCATCTCCTCCCTTTCTTGTCCCCTTGCTCTCACTCTTGACCTCTCCATCATTCCTCAGTGACATCCACCTCATTCCCAATCCAGGGACCTTGCACTTGGTGCAAGGAATGCCATTTCTCCAAAGTTCTCCCCTAAACACACACAAATCAGCCTACCCTCAGTAAACACCTCCCTTGTTTACTCTCTCTCATGGTCTTACTTTTCATGGTCATTGATCTGTTACCATCAAAATTTCATTTTTGTCAACCATGATAATGAAGATTGAACCCAGAGATTCATTCATACTGAGCTATATCACCAGTTTTTTTTATATGTTTGTTTTTGGTTTTTTGAGTCTGGGTCTTGTAAGGTCACTAAGTTGCCTAGGGTAGGCTAAAATTCAAGATCCTTCCAGAGAGCTAGGATTTACAAGTATATGCCACTATGCCCAACTAGAGGTTAATTTTTTCTGGTTTTTGTTTTGTTTTGTTTTAAGACTCGGTCTCAATATGTAGACCAGGCTAATCTTAACCTCAAGGTGATCCTCCTGCCTCAGCCTTGTGGGTGCTGGGATTACAAGCACATGCCACCATGCCCAGCTTCACTAGAAGTTAGGTTTTATGCCTATGTATGTATTGCTTGTCCTCATTTCTGGAGTGGAAACCACATGAAGGCAGGTTTTGCTCTGTTATGTCTTGCTGAGTGCCCAAGAAATGGGGGCTTGATAGATGAATTAAAGAACAAAACAGGTGACTGGTCATAGCTCTGTTCCTGGCCAGGTGTGTTTTTTCATCTCTTTAGCTGCCTCGATATCCTGATCTTTTTCCACTAGTGTGTCCTCTTAGTTATGAGTCCACCTGTCACCTTCAGCTTCCAGTTGGGACCTGGATCCTCTGAGATGCCCTGGAGCCATGCTTCGTTAAACCAGGAGGGGTCTCTGCGGGGAGAAGAAGCGGTCAGCTGGCTGGGGGATCCTTTGGGGAAGTTCTCCCCAGATCGGCCCCACTCACATCTGGTTCAGCACTTGGGCTATGGCAAGGCCGCTGCTCAGGTCTTGGGGACTGGCACAGCGGACTGGAACTTGGAAGGTCCGCAACTGAGGAGATAAGGGTTGGGTGGAAATTCAGGGCCTGGTCTTTTCCCAATCAGCAAAAACCTCTTAGTCAAGCAGGCACAGGCCTGTTGCATTAGCAGCCAGCTCTGCAGTGGGGGCGTGGCCTCTGCACACCTGGGCTCGGAGGGGGCGTGGCCTCCCTTCACCTCTGCCCAGTAAACCCCGGGCGACCAGGTCAAGATAGCACCACGTGACCAGGCCAACACACCTGTGCCCCCAACCCTATAGGAGTCAAACACAAGGGGCGGGGTCTCACCTGTCCACGCATACTTGCCACGTGACAGGGCGGGTGCTGGACCAGAGGCCAACGGCTCTGCAGGCCCACGACCCCTTCCACCTTCCAGTCCAGGACGGAGGGGCCGACTGGGGGAGGGCCAGAATCACGGGCGAGAGGAGTGAACGGGCGCACACCTGTCCCCAGCCCCGCCCCCGACCTACCCAGGTGAGCAGAGACTCGCATAGCTCGGCCTTGTCCACGTTCATGGCTCCCGATTGGATTCGATCCCAGCAAAAGAGCCCTGGACGCCTCCGGGTCGGCTACCAGCGAGCGCCAGCCGCCCCGACCTCCCGCTCCGCCTAGAGCGCCACCCCTCCTGCCCCGCCTCCTGCGCCCAGGCCCCGCCCCACGCACGTGATGCCGCCCGACTCCCGGCTTGTCTCCAGCTCTGCCATCTTGGGTCCGGGCACAGCCTGGCGCCCGCGCCACCGCTAGGAGTCAGTCTGCCCCCATCACCTGGGCAGGCTCTTCCGCAAGCTGCCACCTTAGGCTCCGCGTCTGTTTGGAGTTGAAAATGTCCTCCTGTTCCTTCTGAGGACCTGCCCCGCCCTGAAGTGCGGGCAGGCACGTTCACGTCCTTTCCCTGCAGTTGGAAGACAACTGCCCTGCGATCGAAGCCCGGATCTGTGCGGGAAGACGTGAGCCGCAACATCGCCTGGACTTTGGAGGGGGGCGGGGGGTTTCCAAAAGGCATCGCAGGTGTAGGTGACTCGGAGTCCTGCCCCACCCATTGTATGGATGTGGACCCTAATCGAAGTCAGAAAGGGTCGCTCAGGCCTTGCCAGCATGGATCTGTTCTACCCCGAGCTGCCTCTGTGCCCTCTCGGTGCAGTGCGAGCCGGGTTCTCTCAGCGTCAGAAGCTCCTGCGGCCCGCAGCCCACCAGGGGGCGCATAGACAGCGCCCTGCTGGCTAGACCGCGGCTCACCCAGAACCCGCAGTGGCTATAGAGGGGCCTCAAAAGAGAGGCGTGACCATCAAGATTTTAACAATGTTGCGATCAATGTTGCGTCAAGCGTGGTGCCGCTAGCCTTGTAATCCCACACTCGAGAGGCTGAGGCAGTGTCGCTGAGAGTTCGAGGCCGACCTGACCTACAAAGCGAGACCCTGTCTCAAAAAAAGCAAATAAAACCGAACAAACTGTAACATCGCCAAGCCACATCTATGGAGTGACTAGTGTGCATAGTCCCTGCGCTAAGCGATTTAAATACATACGCAGGGGCTGGTGAGATGGCTCAGTGGTCTAAAGCACCTACTTAGAACAAGCTTTAGCAAAAAACCCAGGGACCACGGTTCGATCCCCCAGCACCACATGCCAGCCAGCCCGCCCCCTGGTGGGCTGAGCTGCCCCCCCCAAAATAAATAAATAAAAATAAATAAATAAATACATACATACGCAACAGAATGCCCTGACAATCTCAGTGGCAAGTGCTGTTTTAATTCCCAGTTTTGCCGAGGAGGAAACCAGAGGCTGTAGGTAGACCCCGGCTTTGCGGAGAGAGGTAAAGCCCTTCTCTTGCCCTTTGACCCCAGGGTCCTCTGCCCAGCGCAAGCAGACCCTGCCCCGCAGGTGGGAGGGGTACTGTATCGTAATTGGAGGCTATTAGGTGTACCCCAGGTAGGGGTGGGCTCTGCTTTAGGGGTGTGTCCGGGTCAGAAGGAAGGGGCGCTGATTTGGAGCAACGCTACCCTAGACCCCTTCTACCTGGCAACCAGTGCAGCCCACTCGGACGCGCCGCGCTACCAAGTGCACTTGGAGCCCGGGGGCTCCACTACCCAGCTCGCCCAGGTCCCAACTCCAGCCCTGAGAGCCAGTACAGGGAACCGAAGAGATGGGCACTAGGAACGGCGTTTCCAGACTGGGCTGCCTTCAGGATAATGTCAAAACAGCTGATTGAGATCTCCTATTCCCCACCCCTGCCAACAGTGGGAAACAAAGCCACCCTACACCCAAGTAACAGTGAGAGGTGATCCAGGAATCCCAGGAATGGGGGGCTGGACATGCTGAGATCTTTGGATATTTGGGGGGTGGGGTCGCAGGGATTTTGATGTTTAGAGAAAAATCTGAGAATCCAAGTATTTAGGGAAATTTACTTAAATTGCTCTAGTATTAGTTGGTGCGATGTTATGGAAATCCCAGATGTTCACAGAGCCAAGATTTAAGTAGAGCTCTGAGTTCTCAACTTGGGAAAGAGCCACAACCCTCTCTCTGAGTCAGGGAAGAGTCCCGTGTTTGAGGGGAAGAGGGACACTTCTGTGTTGCTGGGGAAGACCTGTTTTGAAACATAGGGAGTCCTGCTGTGGAAGAGGAGTGTGGGGACCTTTAGATTTACAAAAGGGGCCACAAACTGCATCATGACAGTGGTCCCACACTTGGGGAAAGGATGGGAATGAAACCCACCTGAGGTAGAGGAAGCCCCAAAGTTTGGATGTGCTGATCTGGAGGCCTTTCTTTGTGGGGACCAAAAGCCCCCAAAGTGCAAGTCTAGAGCAGACACCCTCAGCGGGTTTGGGGACCCCACCCCCTCCTATCTGTTTCCAGGAACAGCTGGGCTTGGGCTGGGTTGTACTGCTGGGAAGCCTGTGACTCAACCCCTCCCTGAAGCCACAGCTGGACCCTGGGTGGCCCCCTTTAGTCTGCACATCTGGGCAAGGACCCATTCACCAAGGTTGGCACAAGGGCCCTGAGGCCCACAACTGGAGCACAGCACTGTCCCATCTCTCCCCTGGTTGACCCCAACCCCTCGGTGGACCCCAGGCACTGTCACCATGGGGAAGTGTGGTATGCCCCCGACACCCCAGAGGCTGAGATCTTGCCAGGAGTTCCTATCCTGCCCCCCTCTTATGTCCCAGACTATATGAAGCATGGTTGTGTTTGTATAGGTATAAAGCTGTGGGTCTGTGCTTGTGTGTGCACAGACACATATGTCTCATCCACTTGTGTCATGGGACTTTGGAGATTTTGGAATGTGGTGTCTATGATTTGGCTTCTTGGTTTGTTGTTTTATGACCTTTTTTTTTTTTTTTTTTGGTGGCACCAGAGATCGAACTGAGGACCTTGTGAGCAGGCGCTTATACCACTGAGCTATCTCCCCAGCCCTTTTATTTTTAAGGCAGGACTTTACTAGGTTGGCCAGATGGGGCTCAAAACTGCATCCTTGGACTGGGGAGATGGCTCAGTGGAATAAGCACTTCCCTGGCAAGTGCAAAGACCTGAGTTCAATCCCCGGTTCTGAAAAAAAAAAAAAAAAAAAACTGCATCCTCTTGCTTCAGCCTTCCTGAGGGCTGGAATTGCAGGCCTGTGCCACTGTGCCCAACTTGTCTGTGGGATTTGATGGTGCAGGTGCCATGAGGACTGGGGAGTGACTCTAAGACATCCTTGTCGATGTGAATCATCCAGGTTTAGGTGACAAGAAGTCTCTATGCAGAGTGTGACTTGCTATTGTGTCTGTCCCTACTACTGTGTTGATTTTGTTTTGGGTCAGTCTCCATTTCTTCGGGGTTTTTCTTGAGACAGGGTCTCACTATGTAGTCCAGGCTGGTCTTGAACTCTCTCTATATAGGCCAAGCTGGCTGAGAACTGCTGGAGATCCTCCTGCCTCAGCCTCACAAGTGCTGGGATTACAGGTGTGTGCCAACAGGCCTATCTTCCTCATCTTCTTTGTGTGAGACTGTGACAACCAGTGCCTGAACATGGCATCAGATTATGCATCTGTGTCAGCATCCTACTTTGTCTTCATGTGTCTCCCTGTGACAGTGTGACCTTGTCATTTGTCCTGGTTGTCCACTTTCCTTGGGACAGTGTATCCCTGTGTGTAGTCTTGTCTCTCCCTTTGCCCTACTTTATGCACCCTGTGATAACTGATTTTATATTACTGTATTGTTATTTATTTTTGGCAGAACCAGGGATTGAACTCAGGCCCTTGCGCTTGCCAGGCAAGGGCTTATTATACTGAGAAATCTCCCTGGCCCACACCCTGTGATAATGGCATGGTGGCTTGGCTCTCATGCCTGTCTCTAACCCATGTCTCTGCTGGCATCTTCTCCACAGGAAAGGGTTAGATACACACCAATCCAAGCCCGTCTCCAAGACTCTGGACTTAGTTTTTCACTTGGCCTGGATGTTGCCGCAGCATCAGTGTTTGTGACATGGCAGTGTCTGTATCACAAACTGCAAGTGACTGAGGTACTGCATGACTCTACGTCCCCGTGTTGGATGCAACCTGTGTTCACTGCATGGCTGATTGGCTGATGGGGCGGAGAGTTTGGTGGTGTGCGGCAGATGTGTCCTGTGTCCGTGACAGTGTGGGTACAGATCTGTCTGCAACCTCGACCTCATCTGTGTGTGGAGGAAGGCAGTGTCCAGGTCACTCAGGCCAGCCAGCGCTTACCACCGCACAGCAGGATAGAGCCCCTCCTGTCCCTGCGGGGGTGCGTGCTAGGGTAGTGCGTCGTGCGTGACGTGAGACCCAGCGGAAGCCGCCGCGTGCGTGGAGCCGACGCGGTCGTGCGTGCGAGCGCGGGACTGGAGGAGGGGCTGCTGCGTGCGTGCGTGCGTGCGTGTGCGCGCGCGCGGGGGTGGCGCGGGGGCTGGGCGTGCGGGGAGGCCACAGCGAGGGGTGAAACCCGGGAGGGGGAGGGGCTGCCGTTAACCCCTTCCTGCCAGACCCGAAACCAGGCGGCCCGCTCCGGCGCACGGGGCTTCCCCAGTCCGCGAAGGGGCAGCCCCTGCGAGAAAAGGACCCCACACACACCACCCGCGGAATCCGAGACCCTCCTGTTGCCATAGAAACCAAGGTTCCAGCGCCGCGGCGCGCAGCTCCCTGCTACAGTCCTACAGTCAGCACGCCCTGCGCTTCCAGCTCCCATTCCATAGAAGGGGCCTATGGTCAGCGAGGCCGGTTGGGGGTGACTCAGGCCAGCCCGGGGGTCTCCTGGCCGTCGGACTTGCCTCCCCTTCCTAGCCCCTGTGACTCAGCCTGGCGGCTTCCCTCCCCGCAGTGACTCAGGCCCCTGGGGAGGGGGCTGCGGGCCCCAGAACCCACCCCCCCAGAGCCCTGGGGCTGAGAACAGGTTCTAGGACCTCTGGGTCCCGCGCAGGGGTCCCCCTCTGGCGCGAAGCAGCTGATGGGGTGGCACTCCTACCTACCCCCTTACCTCCACCCACCCCCCACACCGGGTGGGTTGACCCTCACCAAGGTAGGTCTCTATGGCCCTTCCCACCCCTGCAGGGCAGAGCCTCCATTCTCCACCCCACCCCTTGCCTCCGGGAACCGGCCCTTCCCCCACACGCAGCCACAGGAAGTTTTGGCAGAGTCTGTCGTGGCGATGAAACGGTT